TTCAACAACCGACAGACATGAGCTGTCCGAAGATATCCTTGCCATCAACGTCTTCATCTGCAGATTGCAAGGAAGAAAAGCAGCCAAACACAGAAGGAAAAGAAAAGAAAAGAAAAAAATATTAACATTGAGTAAAAACAAAAGAAGAATAAAGGATGAAAATGTGAATAGAATATTGAAAGTGAAATTGTACCCAAACCTTGCACAAAAACGTACAATAAAGCGATGGATGAGGCTGACAAGATTGACCTATAATACAATCATTGACTATCTGCAGAAAAGACGGTTTTTGTTTGTGTATGTAGATATAAATGTAAAACTTTTCAAATATAAAATTCCTGAGAAAGATCGCGTATTTAAAATTGCTTGATGGAGCCATATGCATGCATATGTAGGAATTGATAATCATGCTTAGCAAAGCTTAGTATAGATTATTAATGATGTATTACAATCCATCCGTAATATATTGAATAAATTATATAATATACCAATCTTCCACCAAAAGAATATCACGATTTTGTGCTGCTCAAGGAGCATTTAAATATAATTCCATCTCATTTGGTTAACATTATATTTTTAAGTTTTACAAAAATATGATCATATTCATCATTAATATTTTTTACTTCTATATCAGAATAGCGTCAGCGTTTAAATATGAAGAACTGTTTCTTTAGCATATCGAATAAAGTTTTTTTTTTTTCATTTTTAATCTTCATAATAACCAAGCTTTAACCGTGGATCAAATACTATATAATATAATTCATTCTATTTTTAATATTACTTAAAACAAGTATAATATATCAAAAGTCGCGTAAAGAAAACGAAAAAAAAAATATCAGATCATCTGATGATCACCCGGGTCGAGCAAAACCATGACCCTGACCCGACGAGGTTTATTAAATTAGGACTCGAATTAATTCTCGAGTCGGGGTGAATGACTCGGTCGATTCGATGTGCTCGGAGCACTCGATGGATTATCTTCATTGAATTGTTTGTTTTTTTGATATTTTTTAAGGCGTGCATAATTTAAGTAAAATAGGTGTTGGTAAACACCCATTTTAATTAGATGCACAGCATTAATGACCAATCTTTCTAAAATAAGATTTTGAGAAGAATGATATGAAGTTCGAAGAACTAAATTTTGAGCAAATTTTATATTTTAATTTTAATAAACAAATAAGTTTAGCAATCAATTTAAAATTCGTTTGGGCCAATAGTTTACATTTCCTATAGGTGATGTAAAAAAAAAGAATTCTATAGCTTTATCGTTGTAATAAATAAGAATGAAATTGATTAAATCTTTTGAGAAAGAAAGCAAATTCGCCCGCGTTTCTAAAAAAAAAATGAACCGGCGTTACATTAAATATAATTCCGCTCAGAAACATAATAATTCGCATGTAAATTGTTTTCGATAGTTCTTTGAAGATCATTTTGAGGTTGGCGGGATGACAAAATGGCAGGATGTCAGGATGTCCTTCATAATAATTATTTTTTTATAAATTCGAGCCTGAAATCTCAACATTCCATGCTCGCCCCTTCTTATATTTGCATACATACAACTTAAAAACCTTTCTTTAATCCTTCGCGATATTTTCGCTTCCGCTGTTTTAAAATTATACTTGTAATTTCGTTTATTTTTTTAATTTTGATTTTTCTTAATGATTGGCATTTATCTAGTTTAATATACTGACATTGCGCACAATGCCTGTATTGATTTATGATAAATTTCGAAAAAGATTTCAGTGAACTCTTTGTTAATTATTATTAGGCCACCTTTAATTCATTAAATCATCACAATTACATATAATAGCAACAATCAAGATAAATCTATTACCTTGAATCATTGATTACTTTCACATACCCATTCATGAACATATCGAAAAATAGAACTTATGGTAAAGTTAATGAAAATAAATAAATAATCCCATTGTAAGTTTGGAAAACAAACTTATTAATTTGGACAGCAGCTTTCGGGGTCACAGCAATATTCTTCCTATGTCGATAAATTAAAATACGCTTTTAGTAATGTTTAAATTAATATGAGAAGTTATCGAAAGTCAAGCATGTATGTTAGTAATAATAATGCTATATAATAAGTGGGAAAAATAAAACATTACCTTGTTGCAGTAAGAACCATCTCCACAGACGACCGCACCCTTGAATTTGCAACGAATAGGACATGTATTTAGTAACAAAGATAAGATTTATAATCATGTAAGTGAGAGCAGAAAGTTTATTACCGCTGGAATACATCCATCCGGAACGCATATTTCGCCCTGACACCAAGCATGTATGTTAATATAATAATGCTATATAATAAGTGGGAAAAATAACACCTATTACCTCGTCGCAGTAAGTACCATCTCCACAATCAACTGCGCCCTTGAATGTGCAAAGCATGAACACGTGATTAGCAAATTCAATATATCCACCTTGGAGGAGAGAACATAAAGTTAATTACCTTTGGTAAACAACCTGACGGAATACAAGTGTCGCTCTAAATATTAGGTCAAAAATATGTTAGTAATTTACAGTATTACAACAATATCATGGAAAAATAAGCATATTACAAAATCGCAACAAAACTGTCCATGAAAACAGCATAGTTGATGGGTCTGCGTGTGTAAGGATAGAATATGATTTAAGAATTTAATGTTGTTGCAAGTCAACGTAATCATATTATGATATATGAAAATAACAAATTACAGAGTCGCATTCGAGACATTTGATCTCATAAATCTAAATGTGCAAATGAAACTTATTAGTAAATTATAATATATTCATATCATTAAGTGAGAAACTAATATCAATTACGGTTGACTACAAATGGATAATGAATAATTAATAACGTAATTTCAACATAAGGAATGAATTCAACTAACAGCAGTATGAATTTATCAATGGCACAAAGTTAAGAAGATATATCATACATTTCCAAGCACTAATTTAGTCAAGTGTTTTGGAGATAATGTCGAATTCCTTGCGTACGTTAGGCCTCTTTCATGATTTGAAATCCCTTTGCTGTTGGAAACAACCGTGAACAAGGTAGTTATCAATAAAGATAAAATAGGACCGAAGGAGAGCCTCATGATTTATTTATTTTACTAGAGAAGGAAATCAATGACAATAGTTCACTAAATTTGCAAAATTTTAGGCAAATGATTCTGGCTGGGTAGTGAAAATAAAAATATAAAATAATTAGTTTGCGAGGTTTCGGAATTTGGGCTACATTTTATAGTCATTAAAGACACGTGCTTTTAATTTGTTATTTTATTTTTATTTTATATAAGATAAACCCGAGATGATCAAAGTTAAAATTGAATCATTTACGGAATATCATTTCATGAATTATTTTGAAAAACTGTCTATAAATATCCCAAATGCGCACTATTCGCCTCATAACACTGATGATTATAAATTACGATGATGACGATAAAGGGGATGATGATGATGATGATGATAATATGGATGATAATTTTGCCAGTTTAGAATTAACAAATTTGCTGGTCTAAATGAAAAGTTCTTGCACCCAACCATGTCAAATTTCTTATCATTAAAAAAATTAAAAATAAAATAAAATAAAATGAAGTAAAACATTAAAAACGCGAAAAATTTAATTTACAATTCTGAGTAGTTAACAAAGCTTCTTTCATAAATATCATTGAGTAAACCATAAAGAAATGGAATAGCCACAACTGAGAAGTTGAGATTTTTCTTGTCATTTTTCCTTCAAATGGAATATATACTATAGAGAGGAATATCGTACGAACCTTTTGTCGGCCTAGTCTTACGCATTTTTTGCCGTTCTACTACGCTTCCTCTTTTTCCTCTCACTAGTTTGTAAGTTAGATAATATCTAGTTTTTTTATGTATTGATCATTACAAAATTAATGAAATTATTTTACTTCATAATATTATGAGCTATAATTTCTTTAATCTGTTGCTCCTTTTTTTGTATAGGTATCATTGTATTTTACTTTGTGAGATTTTTTTTTTTTTTTTTAAAAAAAAAACGAAAAGAAAAATAAGAAAAATAAACTCAACATAATTTTTTTCCGTGTAATTTTATATACTATGTTCAAGATAAACGACACCGAAATTATTTATTAATATTTCTTCCAAAATTAAAATTTTATTTTAAACGGGGATAACGGAAAAGCATATTCACGGCAAAAAAAAGAATTTTTCATTTATGACAGACCAATAGCAAAAGTTGCCTCCCATGGTTTCTTCTGAAAAAAAAAAAAAATTAATTATTATTAGGTAAATGGATATATTAATTAATCGATGGTTGAAAAAGAAGAAAACGTTCTTCTAACATAAGATATCAAGAACAAACAAAGTTACGCGCCATTCGAATAATAATCTAACAACATTTCTTAGGTATAGTTTTTTTAGCCAATCACATGGTTTTAATATCTCAGTCTTGTAGCACGTGCGTCTTTAACCAATTTAGTAACTTTTTTTTTGAATTATCGCTAATATAAAAACTTTTCACAGATCTTCCAAATAATGATCCTGCAAGCATTACGATTTTTTTCAAAAACGAGATCGTTTTATCGAATGCATTATTGGAGATGACCATACCATAAATCGGTCACAATCCAAATGCTTGATTCAAATTTCGGCTAGCACCTTTAGGACTACAAACAGGAATTGGAATTTCAATATTGGTAAACAAGACAAGAATTTATTTGAATCTCGTGTATTTATTAAGAGTATTTTATGCGTATTAATTATTTTGCTATTGTGAAAAAAAAAGAATTTAAATTGGATGAATACAGAAGACTCTTCTGTATAGTTGCGGGGCAAACCCTAAACCCATTTTGGAAAAAGTCAAAACTTTTCAGAAATAGTTTCGATAGTTTCGATATAACTTTGCGAATTCTTAAAAAGGACGTGAATATATATTATCTCACATAGACTAATGCATAGATCATTATATGGGGTTATTGCTCCGACATTTTAATCTATCAAAAATTATAATGTTGATTTAGTTAAAAAAATTCCAAATAATGAAATTTTTTTTTTAATGCTTAGCATGGGGCAAGCCGCTATATAAAAATATGGTGTCAACTTTATTTTTTTTTAAAAAAAAATAAATAAAATTAAAAATATTCCTTATAAACAATATTTTTAATACAAAATATTCAAAATCAAAAATTTTCACATATGTAACATTATTTTTTTTAAGTATTTACACAATTCCCGGTCCATTTATCGGGAACCAATATCAACTTAGTGAAGACATATCATTATTTTGTAGAGAATGTCAAGAAGTTTGAATAGGTAGAATGGATATATTAGAAAAGATTTATTCAACAAATGAGAAAGAGAGTAATTTTTATTAATCATTCGTCCATGAATGATGGATTAGATGAATAATGGTTGTTCACCAAGAGGGATATCATTTAATAAAAACTATGCTTCGTAGGAATACTTAAAAAAAATTTTTTATACGTATAGTTATGACTCCGTCATTTGTTAAACAAATTTTGATGTGGTCTAAAAACTTTATACTGATAATATTGAAGAATTCATTCAAAGAGTTGAAAATTTGTTATATATTTCATGGTAACACCAAAATCTATTCATCATCTTCCTATTGGTGGATTCCGTCAAAAAATTTGATGATTTGACAAATATTATACACGACGAAGAGAAGAAATCGCTAAAACTCCTTTTGATGAACCGACCACTCCCGACAAGCTGATCCGACAATACCGATAGAAGTATCATGGAACACATTTCTAATTAAACCCAACTCGCAAAAACAAAATAAAATTTTAAAGCATTGTCGAAACTTTTGCCCCCTCGAAACTTTTGCCACCTGTCGAAACTTTCGCAATTTTGCCTTTAATAAAAAAATTTGGCAAACGTTTCGATGGGTTTCGATTTCGATGCCGGCAACCTTATGTCAATAGATTTAACAAAAACTATTCCGACAGCCTAACGCGATTTTTTCCAATTCAAGAAACTCAATGTTATGATAGAAATGATAAACTTTTTATTTCCATCAGCGAGATGATCCATTACAATGCATTCGATTTCACACGTACTGTAATTCGATTTTTAATCGATCATGTGAGTGAGAGACCGACCAAATCAATCATGATTGTTTTCATCAATTAAATGCCCTAGTTTTAAACAAAAAGTAAGGATAAATGACTTTTAAATATTTTCATACTATTTAAATTTCTCCGATTCAATGAACATTTAAAAAGTTTTTACAACTTCCTAATTTATTTAAGCAATGTCCCTTCTCTTAAATATGATTGACTCAAAACTAATATTTGACACTTGGATGTTTAGCATACTCAAATTTCAAGAGATGCTGTGGTTTTCTTGACCAAGTGTTAAAATTAATTTAGAAACGCAAGGACGGCAGTTTCGTTATATATATATAAAAAAAACACAATATTAAAAACTGTCATTGCTGAAAATTGACAGATTTTTTAATATAAAATAATAGAGTTTTGTTTGCTATTACTTAATACTATCTATAAAAGCTCACAACTTCACTTCGTCAACCGCAAGATTCAATAAAAATAGTTTCTGGAAATGTATTCGAATCCTCCGTGAAATTTTTTGGCATACATTGCCCTTAACAATTGCCTTAAAGATTTTCCATTGGATTTTAAGTCAGGACTGTTTAGGCCAATCCATGATTCCTGGATTATTTTATGGAGAAACTCATTGGCATGAACGGTTTGTATTGGATCGCTGATGCCGCCCGCCAATCATCTCTGGAATAAGACATAAATTTAAAAGTTTTTCCTGCTTAACTGTATTTCAGAAGAGTTGGAAGGCTGTTTTATTTTCCAATTATTATATCGGAGCTGTTCTTGAAAGAGATTTCCCGGTGATCTTTTCTTGGACGACCACTTCCTTCTTTTATTTTCAATTGTTAAAATTGTCATTAATAATGAAAAGTGGGGATTTTTGTAATTTTATGAATTTGAGTGCCTTTACCACACACAAATGTAGTATTTATTTACCTAATCAAAATCTCGATTCACATAATATTTAGAAATTCCGGTATATATATATATATATTTTTGTTACAAAACAATTAGTATGAATCATTTTCCATTTTTACAGTGTCAAAATAAATTTATTTCTTTAAATAAAAATTTCCAAGCGTTTAAATCCCTATACCGGAATCTGTCAAACGAAGTTCTTCCAATCCTGGGTTAGAGGGTGTGAAGGGAGAATTCATTATTCTTTAACATCAGATTATGAATTTTCTCCGTAAATTCCGAATATTTTTCAAACATGTCACCAAGCTCCTTTTGTTATTTGAGCGCTCCTTTCCCCAAATCCAATCCGAACTGGTGTAAATTTCCTATTAAAGGTAAAGGAAATGGTCCAGGAATTGGATTCTCTCGTGTATACCATGAATAGTAATACTTGACATTATACATTACAAGTGCTGTAAGTGCAGTGAAAATGTTGACCCAGATGAAATCGCAAAGTTCAATGCCATTATTTTAAAATTTTGTAAACGAATAAGAAATTCAATAGATTAAAAAAAAAAACCCCTTTAAAATACCTTTTTTCAGGAATAGCGCATTTTTGTCGGAATAGTTTGCGATTTCGATCTAACCATAAATTCGAAATGATCAGGAGACGAACGCTTCAATTTGATAAAGTGAATGCCGAATGTGTGTGCAATGTTTAGTGAGACGAGTTATTTATCTCGAAAAAAAATTTGTGATTTTTTATATCTGTTGTTAGTTATAATCCGTATGCGCCACTAAATGACTACGCCAATTAGGATCACCAATGATCTCCAAGAAAACGTGTGATCACCATTTTCACCGATTTCACTGCTATCTTGGTTATCATCATTTTATTTAAAGGAATTCAATTTTTTGGTTAGATTATTTTCTAAATTAGGTTTTTGCAAATACATTTGAAAAATGATAAATTTAAATTATTAATTTAAAATTCAATCGCGGACAAGTACACGTTTAAATGGTGCATGTGTTGTACTAATAAAAAAATCCTGTAAAAATATTATTTTTTTTCCGGCTGTAATTGATTTTTATAAGTCGTCTCCGTTTTTGGGGATCGTTTGAACCCATAG